GTACCGACGGGTCGAGGAATCGACTCAGCTGGCACGCCTTCACCTCGACGAGGAGTTGGAGAAGAAGGATGGTGCCACGGGTTGTGCTGGAACAACATGCGAAGAGTAAGGAGCTGCCAAGTGAGTGACAGCGGAAGCAACGAACGTACCAAAGAAGGTGGTGGGGAGCCGCGAGACGTCATCAGCCGAGTACGGACCAACGGTGGCAGAACAAAATGAAGGATTAAGACACTCACCAGCTCGGCTCGTATCATAACCGGGGCAGTTGTGGTGTAGGGATTTCCAGATTCGACCATACGCCGACCTACTTTAGGTCAAGAATCGGCTCGGTCTGATAACCCAGAGCTTAGGAGCCAAGGATCATGGTAAGTACTCAGCGATCTGTCCGGATATGCTATCCGGACAGCCGCTGAGCTCAACGGTCGCCGGAACTCAGCTGAAGGGTCGGTAGAGATCCGAAACGACTACATTTCATTAGATATTTGTATGAGAAGCATAGGATTAAATAGGGGGAGCCGAAAGGGCTCCCAGAAGATAACAGAGCAGAATTTTCCTAGTCCAAGACACGTGTACACTTTTCCGGTAAGTCCCTGCATAGGGCTGGATTATGCCTGCCGTCAATACTCGAGAGGCATAGCTTGTAGGGTATTGACTGGTAGCGCCAAGAGATTAGGTCGGTCCAGGTAGGACAAAGTCTCGCTACGCGCGAAAGAAAGTCCCGCATACTCAGCGGGCCGGTACGTCGGATAGCCCGGGTGCCGTAACACTTCTAGCTGAGCTGCCTCTGCGCTCGGTGACCTGTAAAAGCGCTCGCGCGCCGTCGTCCATCCTTTGGTGGAGGGCACAGGGTTGTGGACGAGCTCAGCCGAACCAAACTCGGCGGAGCCTCGGAAGTGATCTGACTTGGTTAGTCGGAGCCGGGTGGAAGCGAGCCACTCGTCTGTCCCGGAAGGGCCGGACCGCGAGGGGGCCACCCTCTGCGCAGGCCATACAAACCGCCGACCTAACTCGGCGATTCGTTGTGGTTTGTGTAAGGAATCCACATCTGACGATATTTGTGTGTTCTACTACACCACATGATCATCGTCGTTTGAGGCCGTCGATCTACGCGTTCACACTATAGATACCGCTCTTCTTGTCATTCTTGCCTATTAGTCCAACGCACCTTTTGAGGAGCGACTTGCATTTGCCACTGCCTTGGCATTCCAGAACTAAACTGTCGACACTGCTCACTTTCTCCCATCGGATTCCCATCGTCATCTAGAATCCATCTTTCTAATGATACTAAGTCCTCGAACCGTGAGGAATATTGGGTCACTGCCATGTTTTGCGTCTTCCTTAGAGCCTTAATCTCTTCATGCAGCTTCTCACGAGTCCCAACAGGATAGTATCGCGCAGTAAGCGAATCCATGGCTATAATTATGGCTCTGGCAATGGTCTGTTCTTTCTCACGGGTATCGTCCATTTTCTCAAAGAAGTCATATAAATCTCGTCCAGTGAGAAATTGACCTAAGACCTCTCGCAGTCTGTGGGCTGACCTGTCGGAGTCACTCATGTCTAGAAAGTGATAGAGCCTGTTGATCTCACGTTGGAACTTTGACCTATCTTTCCAGCTGCCGCCCGTAAAAGGTGTCACTTCCTTGGTGCCCTTAAAGCGTCCAGGTGACTTGAACTTAACCGGCGCAGTGTGGGTCACGTCTTCTTGCTTTTCCATGGCAGCAATTGAAATTTCAATCTGCTATACCTCTGTGGCTTGCTTGATATATTCAAGAATGATCTTTTTTTCGATTTGGGACTTATCGGATATACCTTGTAGTCACTTTCAGTCTTGCCGTTAGCTTACTCTTTTCTTCTTTGGTCGAATACCATCTTCTTTCATGCTCTTCACTGCATGACAGGCGTAGTTGTATCTTATCTGTCAAAGGCGTGTCGAAACGCCCTACCTAAGCTAAACGCATCAAGCTTAGCAAGAAGTATCGGTGCCTATGTGCATCACTACACCGGTAGGGGAAGCTGCCGTAGCTAGCATTTTATTGCTGGTTGGCCTTCCCTCAAATGTTGTATTACTCTACCGAATCGTACATTCACCACCAGCCCAATCCAATAGTTTTTTAGGACAGAGGCCGGGGCGAGTGAGTTTTAATTGCTACACCAAATATCTACTTACGGTAACATCGACATCGTATTTCTGTACTCGCCTTGGCTGCGCGGTCGAGTGGGGGCTCTCAGGGAACGAAGCCGAAGCGATCTAGAGTGAAAGCTCCAGATAGAAAGCTGCTGCATGCACACGTACCATTGAGCTGCAAAGAGAAGTCACAGTAGAAACAATTCGAGAAGACTGGAACTTATGAAATACTTATGGAGGAAAAGCGGGACTACCCGAAGGCGTCGTCCGGCAGCTATTGCAGCAGGAGCGACCAATACAAACGATTCTTCCGGAAAGTTGGACCAGAGGCGAACAATTGAGAAATATAGGATGGTTGTCAGGAATTCTCTCCGGGCAGACCCCAAAGCTAGAACAATAAGCTATAGTTAACGCTCTACCCAAACGTGCACTACTATTTCCCTGGTTACATGGACTGCAGAGGATGTTTGTAAAAAATATATTTTCTTCTTCTAGTCGACGAAGAATGCTTTGCGTTTTGAGTTGTAAAAATCGCGGCGACATCCAGTCCACTGGTCGATTGAATCAAAATTTGGTTTTCTCCGCGCTTCTTTAGCAATTAAATTTTTCCGGCGGCAGTAAAAGCTTTGACCTCACTGCGCTTAGACATTGCAGTAGCTGAGGCTTAGACATTGCAGTAGCTGAGGATTCGCTGACTACTCGCCTCCATAGACCTCTCGGTCCTTACTTTGTAGCGCCAGCCGATCGCGAACGCTCTGTGGCAGCAACATCTCCGATAACGCCTTCGCCACACCCTTCGTTGTCGGGTTCCCTGATTTTGACCGGAGATAATGTTCGCGTGCGGTGGATTCTCCCAAACAGCGGAAGGTGCCAATCTAGAGAAAAAGCAAATACGCAGTTCATTTTTAGAGGCCCCACATTGACGATGCTGAGGTATGAGGGGTTGTATGAGCAGAGATTTGATTTTCAAGGGGCTTGGCACTAGCTTCGTGACGAGCCAAAGTGGAATGAGTTGCGCAATAGCTCGAATGTGGGATGTGTGTCAACTATCATTTACTATTCCTGGATCTGCGGCAATAAATAGCGTAGGGCAAAACTCTATTAACAAAAATTAATAATTGCAGCTTGAACGTAAAGAGCAAAATAAATCATTTTCTACTCACAAATCCCTAAATACATTTTGAATTATTTACGGTAATTTATATATTTATTTAAAATCTAAAAATAAAATTATTCGGGTAGATTGTACATATTGAAACAAAATCAATGATGATTACTTTCCAGACATCCGTTACTTAAGAGAATGCTCGTTTGGTGATCAACGTCCAGCAAAATAATCTGCCAATTCCATGGGTTCGCCTTCGCTTTCTGGCGTGTAGCAGCTCTTCGATGGACAGCTCTTTGATGGACATCAGGCGTCTTGTGTGCTAGCGCAACATCGTCATGGCAAGCTCATCGTCCTCTTCAGGGCTTAACACTGGAAGCCCAGAAGACAACCCAGAAGAGCCGTGTGATTTCATGGCTCACAACGACGGGTGCGGGTATGTACCGGTATGCAAGAGATTGGCGCACGCTCACGCTGTACAGTACATCTTTGCAGCCATCGCTTAGACCAATGGAGCAGTCGTAAAGGCGACGGTGGGTACAGCTCTGGATAGTGAATCCTCCAGACGGCTTGTCGATGGTATCACTACAAAGAGGATTTCCTGCAGCTCCTCTCAAGACTTGTTCAGAAAGTGATCGCTGATAGCGAAGCATCCAAGAAAATTTAGCGAGCTCGCTTCTTTCTTTTTCCACGTTCCGAGCGTATTCAATGGTAGTTGCATTTGTGGCGACACTTGAGCCTGTACACCGGCGAACTTCGCCGCGAAGGTCCGCAATCTATAAACCACCGAGAACCGTGAGAATCTATTATAGAATTGTTTCACTGGAGTCCGACACCTTGTCGCAAGTTGCGACTTGCAGTGGCAAGTCGCGCGCGTGTGGCTGCATGGCGTTAGAAGAGCGAAACTGTATAATTGCATGACGTGTCACGCCGAACTTGCTCACCAGCTTTCGTGTGCTAGGAGTCCGATAAGCACACCAATAAATGTATGCGTTGCACCACGAACTCGACATGTACTGACCGAATACTTCATCGCTCCGACTGTATCGACAACTTAACTGACAATACAGCGACATTCCAGCCACAACGACTCCTTCTTGCAACAATACCCGGGTCAAGGGTGCCGTTGAGCGAAATTGTACTACAATCGCCACACTCCGACCAACGGCAGCTTCACAGACAGAACTAGCCGCACTATTACTAATAATACGAGCTCCCTTTAAACCGTCACAAGCTTAGTCTATGGAAACCTTGCTCGGCAGCAATTGCCGATAGACGACCTCCTGTATCATGTTCCAACCGCTACCGATACATGTAGCACGGAGCCATACGAAGCCACGGCGAATTTGCTGCAAAATGTCTCGCCGGACGAGCAGTCCGATGCTCATTTGGAATCCAAATTGGATCGCGTGGAACAGTGACACTTTTCCATGGGATGTTAGCAAGCGTGCGGCCTTTCTAACGTGTATTTTTCGACTCATGGGCGTCTACTGGCAAGTGGCCGGAAATAGAGAGGAAGGGCTTACAATGCGCGACTTGGCAGTACGCTGCAGCGCACAACGCACTCTGCAATCTGCTTTCTGGCCAGGAGGTGATCGAAGTCAAGCATGAACCAGCTCGAAACACCTGCGCACGACCCACGCCAGCTCAAAGCTGCAGAGTCGACGAGTAAAGTCGTTGGGCCTCCTGCACCGTCAGTGCTCTCGAAGCGACACAGTCGTCCTGAAGTGAGCCACGAAGACGACAAACAAACGCAGCAAGAGCAAGACGGTAAGCTCAACGCTGACTACAATGGCAACCAGCTCGTATTCAACGACGTTTGCGAGCCGATGGTCAACTACGACGGCTTCCAGTCCGTGGGGAAGCCCTTCAGCGTGGCCGCGCTGGCCGATCACGACGACGACGTGGTGAACGCCCGATCGCCTATTGTCTGCAAACCTGGCTCGACAGCACGAAGTACTATGCTCAGTCCAACGTGTGTATCATCACTGGCTCGAAATGACGGCGTGAAAAGCGAGCCGTCCTGGACGATCCAAGAGTTCCAGGAGTACTTAAGTATGCTGGAGCTGCTCCAAGACGCGTGTTGCGCGTCAGAGGACGGCGAGATGCGTCTATCGGCCGACAATCTCGGCCAAATGGAGCGGCTACTCACGTCGCTGTTGCCTCAAGGAGTGTGATCGTAGTTTTTCATGGACGACAAACGTATTTTCTTAGTGTTAGACTTCTTGCACTCTGTAGCCGTTTTGTACACGTTAAAACTCATCGAAATAGACGCGGCTGCATTTCGTGATGCGCTGGCTTTGATTGATTGTCGATCCTTCTGTCGGATCGATGCAGGCCAAGCAACGTTGGAGACGGATTCAAGTCCAATTTATCTGGTCGATACACGGTTATCTTGCCCTGTGCAGGTCGTGGACGAGGGATCTGTCCACGCACGATCGAAGCTCCTGCGTGTCGAATAGAAGACGACTTCGCGTCGTGTGGATTCCCACGCTTTACTCCTTTCTTCTTCGAGAAAGATGACAGTTTTTCAGTTGCTTCTGTACTGGTGTCATCCGGACGTACAGTGAGCTCTGGCTCGCGCTTGGGCGGCATGAACAGACAAGGCGAATACGAACCCACCCTCCCGTTCGACTGTAATGTTCCTTCGGGGGTTAGTGTGCGGATAACATCGTTGACGTCCGATGCGCGCACTAGCTCGGCTTCCATACTGTGTGTGATCCGGTCGTCAGGGTCGAATTTAAAGATCAGTTTAAAGTCGATATCAAGTGCTGGAGGCGTAGACGCTTGAACGCTCGCCGCATTGGTGTGTTCCTCCATCCAGAACGTGTATACGTGATCACCTGGCAGCAGCGCGTTTTGTTGCAGCTGAGCGCGCCCTCCCTTTAGGTAGAACCGGGAATGACTGTCGAATAATACCGCTTCATGGACGTCTACCTTCTGCATCCCTGTGGCATCGCACACTCGGATCATGAGTTTGCCTCGTCCTTTCACACTCTCCACCAACAACTGCTCGAATCGACGGATCATGAACACTAAAGGGATGCTCGTCGTCGTCAACACACGTCTCTCGCGTCGGAAGAACCGCAGCGGAACGTCGTCTATAGCTGTAAGAAGCGCTACGTCTTGTGGCCCCTCGTCGTTCGTGTTGGTCGAAGACTCGGCCTGATTCTTCTGCTGGACAGGTGGAGACGGCATGTTGGCGAACATACTGACGCGTTTGGTATTGCTGCGCCCTAAGTCAACATCGTTAACGGATCTTCTACGAACTGGTAGGCCAGGTGGGGCCTTGGTAGTCGGCCACGACTGTGGCGGTTCCCCCGATGGGGTTGGTGGGAACAGCTCTTCGTACAGATCGAAGTAGATTGCGTCATCTTTGAACGCTTCTTCGTCCACATTGCGCTGTCGTACAAGTTTTCCTGTACGATACCAGTCCAGAATCATCTCAAAGTGTTGCGGATTACGGTCGATGAAGAAGGCGTCGTCTAAGCAGCCGATCTTGCCACAGCCGCACGTGATGATCTGGTTGAGTCTCTTAAGTGGGTACTTGGCGATCAAACTCTCTTTACAGCGGAAGAGCTTGCCACCGACGTCGAACGCGACGATGCGCGTCGGTTTTGTGTCTGGATCTCTCAGGTCCGAGATGCTCTTCGAGTGCCACGGCACCCGTGTACGCCCCACAGTATGATCCGGATCCAAGCTGCGGAAATCGAAGTACGCGCCTTGGCTCGTGGCTCGCAATAGGACCGGAAGGCATTCAACCGTCATGCTTAAGTTGTCAGAGTCCGAGCTCTCGGTGGACGCGTCTTTGGAGGCGAGATCGGCCTCATCTCGCCTTGTGTCGATGGCATTCTCGCTCCAGTCGATGGAGATGGTCAGGCCGTGGTCTTTCTCGCTCGTATCGCTCCGCTCCGTGAACAGTTCGTCGAGCAGATCGAGATCGTTGTAGTCGGTCACGACGTTGACGTCTTCATTTTCGTCACCGTCTTTACGTCCGGCCATGGACTTTTCGAAAGTGGTCTCTCTGCCTCCACGACAGAAGTGGAATGAGCAGGCACGAAGCGCACGAACGCTATTCTTCTTTTCCAGCGCGTATCACTGTGAAAGGTCGTAATTTGGCTATTGGTAGTTTTTGGTCCATGTTGAAGCCAGGTACAACCAACCGACAACTTGTCCGATTTAAAAGGCAGCGATATAACTGCAGATTGACGTAGCTTGTTATCGGTGCTGTAGATACTGTACTTCACGGTCATTTCTACGGACTCCCGCGCTTATAGTAGTTGCTGGCTGTTTCGCCGAGAATCGCTTAGCGATAAAAGCGATGACTCTAGTGATGTCTCTCATGCAACTCTTACCAGTGACATTTTTAAAACTGAGTTGCAATCGGTTACGGGGAGAACAATCAGTAGACTTTGAGAGACAATATCGTTTGCAAATATATCCGCGTTATGATCGACGACTCGTCGACGACGAGTACATGCAGTTTCAAAACGGATAGAAGGCAGCTAGCGATGTAAGGATGAACATATAGTGCTCGCAATGGTGATGGTGTACCTTATTTGCCACTTCAGCATTCATGTGGTTAGTAGCCACATAGCAGTAACCACTGGTTACTGCTGCATCACTGCTCCGTCGGAGATAACGATTCGCAATAACGAATGTACGCGCCAAATGTCCATCTGATGCCGATGTTTTTCGGGAGCTGAGATCATCTCACTTTTCGGCACGAGTGTTGGGCAACCATTGTCGAAGCCCAATGTTGGCAACTAATCAAGGCTTCTCTCTCTATTCTACAAGTAGTTAATTAAGGACGTCCAATTTGCATTCGCGTATATTTTCGCGCAGAAGGGCGGAACTACCAGTTCAGTGGTATTGCTCACGGGCCACGCAACTTGCGTGGCCTCAGTTGCGTGCGCAACGCATTGCCTTGCCCCACATTTTGCCTGGAGCGCCGTATTTTCATTATACAGATGAGCCAAAACTCTGGCCTCTTGTGTGCATGTAATAGGGCAACTCGCTACGTGCTGCCCAGACAGACTACCGTCTTACCCCGCATATAAGGCATATGTGCTGTAAATGAACACAACACTGCTTGTGTGTTATATTCGTTTAGAAAGCCTATGTGAACAAATTGTTTGACTTTGAAGAATCAAGTTTGTGGGTCCTGGAATCTGATGTTGTGATTGGTAACGGGATTTTCTGGCTGCGTTGTACTGTAAGCTTGTACGGAGGTTTTGCTTGTTACTGTAATATTATGAATTCTATTATCTCTCCGCTTCTAACCTTGTAACCTGTCGGTCTGTCCGTCCGTCAGTCCGTCGCATTCCCCGTCTTGCTGCTTTTTCCTGCCTTTTCGCATGGCTACACTCGGCCTGTCTTATACAGTTTCCTCCTATCCTACCGACCGCGCCTACCTCTCTGACTCGACCTAACTATGCTAAAATTACAATTATATCCAAAAGCGTGACACAATTAACTCGCGCCCTGATTGGGCAATACCTGCCGACCTGCGACACTGACTGGATCTGTCGCACGATCAGACCGTCTATCGCCCTCGCGATTGGACGTAAGCTAAACAGTTTTGCCGAGCACGAAACACATCGATTGGATGCAAACAGCCAGGAGATACTTGATTATTGCGCAAAACCTGTCGTATGTACTGCAAATCGGGCACAGTAACCACTTTATTTTCTAAGAGCTCTGCACACTTTTCAAATAGAGATTTTTATCATTATTAATGTAGACTTCACAGACCAGTATTTTGTAAGAGCTCAGGGATGTTATTTTCCACACACTTTTCAAAATAAAGACGATATTAATAGTATTAATATTACTAATATAAGCTTCACAAGCCGCAATTGTAAGAGCTCGGCGATGCTATTTTCCACAGACTTTCTAAAGTAGAGACGATAGTATTTTTTTAACACTAAAGTAGGCTTCACGACCAGCGCTTTTTGTAGGGACTTTGCGAATATATATCTTCTTTACTTCACTGACACTCACCACTACCACCGTGCAATGAAGGCGCGCGGCTGCACGGTCATTGCGCTATCTGCTCCCGTGCACCGCACCCGACGGATGCATGCGCGCACGATCGATAATTGTTTTAGGCAATTTATATTGCATGTAAAGCATGTATTTGTTTGGGAATCTGATATTAATATATTATAGCAAAGCCAAAACGTTAGTATCAACTGTCTAATATGTTTCTAAATAATAAATACCAGCCTTATATTTCCAAGCTATTGGCTAATATTTGGACGCAAGTAATTGGTTAAAACAAAATATTTTGCTAACATACGCACAGTTTGCAAAATGGTGGGCCCTACGTGCAAGCAATGCGAGGCGAAGATTGACCCGCTTCTGCTGAACCCGCAGCGGTCTACGACGGACCCCCGAGCGCGCTGCGTCTGCTGCAAGAAGCTGCAGTATGGCTACCCATTCCGTACAATCAGCGGACGGGGCAGCGTGCGGCACTGTATTGCCTGCAAGAACGGCCCAAAAGCGGTTAAGTTCTGGGAGGAAAAGCCTCCACCACCTAATTCGGCCGAAGTGCGCCGCCAGGAAAGCCTGTCAAACGTCGAAGAGGTGATGGGCCCTGACTGGTACCTCAAGAAGAAAAATAGACACAGCCGCCCTCGCAAGCTGACCGCCCGAAACGTCAGGTACACGCCCTCGCAAGCTGACCGCCCGAAACGTCAGGTACATTGAGCGAAAGAAGCAGCAGAAGAGCAAGTAATTGGAATATATGCCCTTTTAGGCCCCCATTTTCCTACCCATCTTTGTATTTTGTAAGCTGGCTGACGGTACGAGGCTTGGAGCCGCACATACGGTAAACTGACTATGGCGCTGTCAATAATGCTGACGCACCTACAGAGCGTAGCGCGTTTCATATAATAATTAGCGCATGGTATCTGCTGTGAGCCCCTTGCAAGCTGACCGGCCTTATCTGCTTTGCGCGTTACAATAGATCCAGAGTATACTCGCTCACTTGGACACATGTAAACCATGCTATCTGTGCCATCAGCGCTCACAGCGGTATTCCAATTAGTGTTGCCCTCACCAATTTGAAACTACAGCATCGAGTGAGGCACTACACGCGAAGCATAGATTTGCTGTCTACCTTATATACGAATCACGTGTGCGGTAACAGAAACCAAAACTGGAGG